CCCGGGGCAATTTCTGTTCCTTATTTACTTTGTATAAAAAGCTAGTTAAAGTTAACTGCAGTTAGCGATAGCTACAGTAGTTAAATCCTTAACTGTAGTTAGTTAACTACATGACTTAACTTCGTTGCTCAAAACGATTTCAGGTTTTGCCGAATGTTACTGACTAATGTTGTCAGTTTCGTAGAGGTTATAAATGACACTTGAAGGGCATCGAGGGTGAAATTTGGGAGCGCGGTAATGTGGGAAAATTCAAATACTGGATGAACACCACACAATTCTTGGCCTGGTTTCACTTGAAACCAGAAAAATTTAAAACAAGAGTCGCAAAACTGGATGTTTTATATGTTTTGCATGTCATTACTACAAACATTCCCCCCACAATTTTGAATTCAAAAGATCAAAATTGCTGACATCAGCATTATTTTGGAGCGCTCTCAAAAGTGTGTTTTAGACAAAATTGAGTTGAAAATGCTTGGTAAAAATCAAAATGCGACTACTTGACTGCCATAAACAAGAATTTAGGGATTTTGGCTCAAATCCGCTCTTATTTTAGTATTTTAATTTTTTGACCCCCAATTAACCACCGTTCCCTCTTCTTCAAAAAAAGATCTTCAAAAAAAGTAAAAAAAGTTGGATATTGAAAAAAAGTTTTAAAAAGTTAGATTAGGGTTAGGGGTTAAGGTGGGGTTAGGGTTAGGTGTTCAGGTTAGGGTTAGGAGTTAGTGTTAGGTTTTATATGCGCCGTGAATTTATCATATTGATAAGTTCGGAAATTTACTAAGGTAAAAACAAAGTGCTATTTCGTTTAGAAGTACTGTCGTTTCACAAAATCACTACTCCACTTTTCTCTCCCTTATTGCAGCCCCGATACGCAAAAAGTGTAGACAAGGCCTTGTAGCCCTGGGAGCCATTAGAATAATAAATCATATGCGTATAGAATATGTAATCAAGCTGCGAGAGAATAAAAGGCGATAATCAGAGACATTGAGGCAGAACGAACGAACTCGTGTCGAAGTAGAACCGATTAAGGAGTGGTCTACACACTGATGAAATAACTTGAGAAAGTAAAACGAAAGAAATATACGTTATCAACGTCGCACTTTACATTATATGGGAAAGGTGGATCTTCAATGATCAAATGCTCTGGTATAGTCTTCAGTGACTTGAGCAATACACTACGTGGGTCTTCAATGATCAAACGCTCTGGTATAGTCTTTAGTGACTTGAGCAACACACTCAGCTGTAAACGTGCGAAGACGAAGTTATTTGGAGATCGGTGTAGTGGAATTGAAAGCGGGGACTGTTATCAAAACCCTGGTAAACTCAACGAGCGCTCATTAAATCGGGATTGTTAGGACTAGCTGAAGAAACAACGGGAAGGAACAACTCGCCAAAGGACGCAAGTATCGTAGCTTGAGAGACAGTTCACAATAATAGTATAGGATTTACACTGTACAAATTATAGAAAAATATATTTAAACTTTTTTTTTGCATATGAAGTTATATTGCCGACACCCACACAGGCGGATTTAAATTCGTCACAGGCCTGTATATCCCATAACGGGAGAAAGGCTAATTGAATTAGCTGTGCTGCAGTAAAAATTGTGGTAATTTGCATCCCTTTGAGTTATCACAATGGTGGATAATTTTCACAGTAATTCAGAATTTCCGTGCACTGCCCATCCAAATGACACGTTCTGCGTCGCCAGCGTCGTGATAAATTGCAGTTGAACCATAATGTATAGCTGATACCGCGTCAACCTTACTGAAATTTACCTTGCGAACGTGGTGTTAAGTGTTCCGAAGGTTGTCAAACACTCAAAATTGAAGCGGCAAGGAATTACAACTTTGATGTTTTTCCTTTTCTGTGAAAATGCAAGCGAAATAATGAATGTGACAACCTAAAAACTAGGAATAATTACAGTCTACATGACAAGAAATAGAATTATGTAAGAGAATGAACCAATGCCCAATGGTGACTGTCGATAAATTTATTCGAATAAAAAAAGTTCTTTACCTGAACCATAAAAAGATATTTTTTGTAGGTTCATACGATCCACATTTTTTCAATAATATTTTTGCGTAAATAATAATTAAACTTTATGACCGGCTCACTTGAAAGATTTAAGATATTACGATAAGAGCCCTATCATAAGAATTTTCTTATTTTTTTACGTCTAAACTTTGGTAATTGATCAATTTGCACAAATTAATAAGCGCTCGATACCTTCCCGTTCAAACCAGACTTTTTTTATTTAACTTATTCTTCTTTATATACTTTAAATGTTAGAGGATTGATTAAGGTCTAGTCTACACGTTTTCTGTATTGTTTCACTATACCAAATAAATAAATAGCCATGTTTTTGTTTTAGATCTTCCGCATGCGCAGACGTTTTTCCGCGGTGTTGGAGGAATTAGAGTATTTAACTGTTCAATTCAATCATCATTTGAATATGCAAAGACATGTTTAATTAAAGAACAATTAGTTTCCGCACAGTTGACATGCTTTAAATTAGAAAATACAGGGTCTCCCAAAAAACCCGCACAACCATTGAAATAACGTATTGCTAAAATTTGAATGCCCTATCTAAGCTGAACGCAAGGATGCGTAAAATATTGACACGGGTGCACATATTATACAGAGTGTACAGGGTGTCTAAAAAAAACCGCTACCTTTGGAAATTCACCATTGTTCTAATTTGAATGCCTGAATGCTATCTTGAACTCGTGGGTAATTTAAGACAATAAATGCTCTTTGCTCTGTGCTCAGTTGAGCCATTTGCTTGACATTCACTAATATGTAATTGAACGATTTTCGTGCAGTTATACTTTTGTATAAACTATTTTCAATTCCCAGGATAAAAAATTTCGCTTTTCAAGGATATTTTAATTCCGAAGATCTTTTATATACGCATCCTGTGAAAATGTTTACGCATTCATGGCTTCAACAAGGTTCAGGCATTCAAATTAGAACAATGGTGAATTTCTAAGGGTAGCGGTGTTTTGAGACACCCTGTATAAAAAAACTGAACCCTTTCAAATTCAAATTAGCTATAACGTATTGTAGTAATTTGACAGCTCTAATTGGCTTGAATTAATGGTTGGGTAAGAACACAAGGAATACTGTACAGGGTGTCCCAGAAAAAAGTGACACTATAGAAATTATCCTATTGTTATAATTTGAATGCCGTAGCACTAAGTTGATCCCACAGGTGCACAAACTTCTGCTTCTGGAATTTAAAATAAAAAAGCAAACCGTTTATTAGTGTAATCGTTTTGCTTGACTCGGGCGTTAAAATATTTGGACAAAGCGAAAACGTTTTAAAATGCTTAAAATTTAATGTAAATACAAGTTCATTAAATTCCAAGGCGTAAATCACGCGCGTTTAAGAGCGGCTTAAGAACAATGAGATAATTTCTATAGTGTCACTTTTTTTTGGGACACCCTTTCGGACACCCTGTATATTCCCTTAAGTGTACCTTTCTTTATTTTGCTTTACACAAAAGGCAAGATATTCTGGTATAGAAATTAGTTAATGATTGTTCTACAGTGTATAAAAAAAACTGAACCCTTTCAAATTCAAATTAGCTATAAGGTATTGTAGTAATTTGACAGCTCTAATTGCTTTAAATTAATGGTTGGATAAGAACAGTAGGTCTTGTACTCATGCGAAAAAACTAAAAGAAATACAAATTAGAAAATTTAAAAAAAATACAGTATTCCTTGTGTTCTTACCCAACCATTAATGCAAGGCAATTAGAGCTGTCAAATTACTACAATACGTTATAGCTAATTTGAATTTGAAAGGGTTCAGTTTTTTTATACACCCTGTATTGTGGCTATAAGTGGAACACAAATAATGATTGGACAGTTTAATACTTTGAAATGCATATACAGTACAGGATGTATAAAAAAAACGCAACTCGGAATTTCCTAAGAAATCCACTTTTATAGGACATCGGCAACGGCAATTATTGTTCACGTTGGTTATCTTAATAAGGAGTAAAAAGCGAATGAAGTTGGTCTAATTATGCATAGTTTCCGCTATCTTGAAGAAATTTCCGATATGCTAATTTATGCTGAAATGCCTTGCTGACGTCATTGGCAGGGGACCGGATTATACAACGTATACGGCCCTTGTAAATAACTATAGTTTACATGCTGTTCTTTTCTACATTATTTGAGAAATTGCATAAAAATGACATAGCGACCTTGTTTATTTCTATAAATTCCATAATAAGCGTTCTTTCGCCTTGCGGAAGATATGCGACGAGTATTTACGTCTTAGTGCAGGCGCGCCGAACATCTTGCGTCAATGTAATATACAGTTGACATAAGTTTAATTTTTTAAAATCACGTTGTAAACCAATTCGTTTTTTGTCCATTATTTTCTGGGGGAGGGTACGAAATGATGCTTTAGTTTTCTAAAAAACATAAAACGCAAAACATAAAACGGACTATGTTATAATCTATATTTTTCCACAGACTATTGCATTCATGTTATACGTATTAAACCATGAAGGTCAAAGTTAAGCAATGTATATTGCCCTGTGTACGGCTGCAATCCAGATGATCTTGATACGCGGAAAATTACTGGCACTAGTTGTCAAATAGAAATCCATTCTGTGATTAAAACAACTGAATATCTCCTGTAATATACTTTATTTCGATTCCATATTTTTGTCAGAGCTATAGTTCTCATAACCAAACATAATTACAAAATTTGAACTAGTTTCATAAAGAATAACGAAAGATATAATTGAATGAATACATCAAAATGGATTTCTATTCGGACAACTCTTTCTGAGCGCTGATTGGCTAAAATACGAACACGAGATCACCTGGATAGTGATAGTCAACTGAAGACAAATAGAAACGTTAATTTCTTTCGTTTTCCGTGCGGCAAAACGCCTGAGCAGAAGAGCCGTAGAGCGGCCTGAAAAGAATTTTGCAAATGAAAAGCATTCAAACCCTCACTTTGTACAAGAATTTGCTCGCTTCATTTTGCCGAGAAGTCATATGAATGATTCTCCTCAATTCCTCGAAAGCATTGGATACACAGAGAAAACGAGTTTGCGCGTAAAGCCCAATGTTTACCAACGCTTGACAAGCCTACGACCAGCGCTAGCGTTTCTAACGTATCTGCATCGTCACAATCGAAGAGAACTAGGAGACAAACCGAGAAGAGACAACGTCAAAAGGTACCAGTTCTTGAAAGATATATACATTTACCAATAGCTTTAATAAATTCTGCTTCTTCCATATCCTTATTTTTCTTCATTCTTTCACAATTTAGAATCTTGGAGAGTGGTTAAAGTCACTTTTATCAACAGAGGATGAAAATTTTAGATCTCTCTTTCACTAATAGCGAAGACATTTACGCTCCACAATTAAGATCAAAATACACTCAGAAGTCAGACCTCGCTGAAACACACAAGTAAATCACACACATTCAAAACACAGACGTTCATAACAACAGAATCACCGTGGTTTAGACAGTTATTTGATACTGCAAACTTAAGTGTAGAAGCGGAAACAGAATGAAAACAAACAGGCAGACCTAACCAAATCGCCAGAACTGAATAGGACTGTAAATGCAGCTATAACAACTTTAGAGGCCGAACTTACGTTAATCATCGAAGAACTACCTTCTACACTACAAACGAAATCATTAGAAAATTTTGACCAATCGAAGTAAAACTATAAATACCACAACTAACCCACAGCTTACTAAACCAACATTGACCGCTTCCTTCAGCATTTGTGACCAAAGGGTCGTACTCATCGTACTCTAAAGCCTTTTCGTGCGAGCAAAAACTTCCTATTGTCTTTGTTTGCAAGGTACAGTGGCCACACTTGCACGAACTGAGCGATTTAAAACGCCAGCTATTCTCAGCCTCGAATGCTTCATCGAAGTCGCAAGTCGTCGTCTGAGCCTCTGAGGATGACTCACTCTCGGAATCGCTTCTGCCCCACCGCTACCAGTATTTTTGTTTAAAACAGGTTCAAACTGATAAGGTAACACTTCACCTAACTGATTCTCGTGAATTTCGTTCAAAGAAAGCCTAGTATAGAACCGACGAAAATTCTTCACAAAAGTTAAAAACTGATCAAAAGCTATAGTAGCGACAGCGTACTGTTTTGCTTCTCTCCTGCCAATGACGCCAGAAGCCTCAAATGACATTAAAGATAATTTTCCAAAATGTGTTTTCAAAATGGCGGGCGATATGCATAATTAGACCAAATTCATTCGCTCTTTACTACAAATTGAGATATTTTATCGCAAATGAAATACATATCTTGACTAAGACAATTATAGAGAACAAAACAAGGAAAAATAATTAATATAAATGCATAAATTTTGCTTTATGCACTCGCGTGTGCAGTAATTTTGACAGTTGTGCTATTTTAAATTCCCAGGCACCTAAAATCTTTTGTCCTTAAAACAATGTCGATTTCTTGGGAAATTGCGTGGTTGCGTTTCTTTTATACACCAACAGGCTGCTCCATTTACTCTTCTAGAACATTTGGAACACTGTTCTGGAACGAATGCTAAGTCTTTTGGCTATATCACTGGCCTGATAAATAACTAATTTAACGCGATCAAGGTATTTAAAACAAAAGTAATGCGAAGGCAACGTAACGGCAAAGACAACGCTAAAGTGAAATATTGTCGATTGGTTGCTAGTAGAAGACTTACGACAGGATGAATCTTAAATAACCTTAAACTAGGGGAATAAATGTTCATATGAAAGACAAAGACCAGTGCCAAGGTATAAAATCTACTGTGTAAACTTACGACGAAGAGGAGAAATGTGTGCATAAGCTGTTTATTTGGTGATTTCAACGTATATATCGCACAGAATAACACCAACTGATATAATAGATCAAATTCAATGATAAGTTACGTCTTGAATTAGACTACATCTCAGAAACGGTGTTGGAAATGGGAATGCTGACCCAAGATTACCGTTTTACATCGTTGTATAAAACATTTTGATCGCATGTAAGGAATTAATATTTCTCATCCCAGAGATATAGCCCGACGACTTAACATTGACGTCCTTGTGATTTTATGGAGATGCAGGCAGAACTGAGGATTTTACAAAGCGATATCGGTATATACCTTCCCAAAGTTGTAGACAAGATATGTTGTTTACGTCCAAAACGCTTAAAGTTACATAACTCAAATAATTCGAGCAAAACCGGTCTTTTGTTCAATGTAGAGACTGGTTCATAGGAATTAATCATTCTGAGTTAAGGTTCGGTCACACGCAGCGACAAGTCGCAGGGGCATGTTGCAGGGACATGTCGCGGGGTCGAATTTCATCGTGTGTCACATGTGTAAGCGTTGTCGCGGGGACAAAAAATTGTCCCCGCGACATGTCGCATGAAATCAAATTTATTTGATTTCATGCGACGTGTCGCGGGGACAAAAACCGTTGCCGCGACTTGTTGCATCGTGTGAGCTAGTCTGTTCACAAGTCGCGGGGAAATAATTAGTCCGACCAATCACAAAATATCATTCCCATGACTACTTGCACGCTCAATTTCAATTATTATTATTATTATTATTATTCATCTTATTTAAAAACGGTAGCCCTTCAGATTAAACTGCTTTTCAAGGGGCCGTTAGAATATTTACAAATACGAAAAATCTATTGTACTTGCTGTATAAAAAAGAAAGCCCATGCAATGAATACTATATATAAATTAGAATGACTCACATATATAACTAGAAATAGTATGTTATGTTAACTCTCCCAGACCCAAAAAATTACTCCTTCGAATCAAAATCCGCCCCACAAGTGGTTGTCATACACTATTCCTCTCCAAATTGGTGAAATAGTTGTTGATTAAAGTTTTGAAGTTACTTATGGAGAGCACTTTGTAGTTGTTGGTAACATCATTTGGAAGATTGTTCCATGATGCCGCACCTCGATATGAAAACGAATTCTTCAAGAAGTCTGTTTTAGGTTTCTCCAAATAAAGTTTACAGTTATTACTTCTTAATGGGTACATATCATTTAGGCAGATTTTAAAGAAGTTGGTCATACATTCTGGCAGTTGTCCTTGTAAGGCCTTAAATGTCATTATCATTTCTCTTTTCTTAAGAGTGGTTTCAATTGGTTCCCAGTGTAAGATATTAAATATATCTTTCGATCTTACTTCGTAAGTTGACCCTGTGATAATTTTAGCCGCTCGTTTCTGCATTTTTAAAAGCTTGTCTGTATGTGTACGACTGCCGTCATTCCACACGTTGGAGCAATAGGTAAAGTGAGGTAAGACTAGTGAGTTGTACATGTTAATTAAGACGTTTTGGTTGACAAATCGTTTGGCTCGTCTTAATAAGGCAATGCTCTTGGATAGTTTTTTGCACTGAAGATCATTGTGTTTATGCCATCTCAGTTCATCGTCTAACGTAATTCCCAGTACTTTTTTATTGGTTACCTGTCTGATGTTATGATTACCAATCAGTATACATGGGTCATAAGAGAAATGTTTCAATTTTCGTTTAGAGGCTATTAGCATAAATTCAGTTTTTTTTAAGTTTAAAGTAAGCTTGTTTGCTATTAACCAGTTATTTACGTTATACAAGTCATTGTTTAGTTTTACTTCTATGTCCGCAGGTGAATTACCAATGCTTGATATATTTGTGTCATCTGCAAACATAGATGCCTCTGTTTGTTCGAGACAGTTAGGAAGATCGTTTATATACAATGAGAATAATAACGGTCCTAAGTTTGATCCCTGTGGGACTCCGCACTTTATCTTTTTCAGTTGGGAATTTGTACCTTGGACTGTACATAATTGACTCCTGTTGGTTAAGTACGATTTGAAGAAGTTAAGGGCTACACCTTGAACTCCATATAGTTCGAGTTTAGCAAGAAGGATTTTGTGGTCGACTGTATCGAATGCCTTTTTGAGATCAAGAAACAAGACACCGTTTATTAAGCCTCTATCCATATTCATTAAATATTTATTGGTTGTTTGCAAGAGAGCAGTTTCAGTAGAGTGATATTTACGGAAGCCAGATTGACGTTTTGTGATTATTTTGTTGTCATTCAGAAAATTGAGGAGTTGGTTATAAACTATTTTCTCTAACATTTTTGAAATTGCCGGTATGACAGATATAGGTCTGTAATTTCCGCATTCATTTTTGTCCCCTTCCTTATAGATAGGCGTAACCTTAGCCTGTTTTAAGTCGTCTGGAAGTACACCAACGTCTAGGATCAAGTTAAAAATATAAAGCAAGGTTTCACATATGGTATAGCCTGCAGCCTTTAACAGTTTGTTTGTGATTTTGTCGAGTCGTGCAGCTTTCCCTAATTTAATATCATCTAGTGTTATGCATAATTCTGCTGGTGAGATTTGTCTAAATGTAAACTTGTTAGAATTAGCAGTAATATATTGAAGTGGGTCTACATTACTTGGTGGTATAGTTTGTGCAAGCTTAGGGCCAATTTCACAAAAATAATTGTTAAACTCGTTTGCTATATTGTCGTTACCAGTAATTGTTTGTCCATTAACTGTGATCTGGTTGATTGTTGTTGTAGTCGTTCTCCTGTTGAGTAAATGATTAATAAATCTCCAGCTATCTTTACTATTTTTGCATTGTTCCAGATTTGTTTTATAATAGTGTTCTTTTGCATCCCTAATAAGTTTGGTAACTTGGTTTTTGCATCTTTTATAAGCCTCGGTATAAGCAGAAGAATTTAGTCTCATGCCTTTTTTTAAGGTAATCTCGATGATAGCTAAGTTTTTTAATTTCGTTGTTCAACCATGGGCAATGCTCGTTTCTAACTTTTCTAGTACGATAGGGAGCATGGTTGCCAGAACTAGACAAAAATATGTCCTTCCACTCCTGCCAGGCAAGATTTGGATCAGAGTTGTATGTAAAGTAGTTAAACGCTTGTGCTAAGTCTTGTTGGAATTCGTTTTCGTTAAAATGTTTAAACTGTCTTGTTTCTACTATTTTCGGCGTTTTTCTGGGTACTCCTATTTTCCTACAAATATAGACCAGATCATGGTCACTTATTCCCAAAGCAATCACACCTGAATCAGATGTTTTGGTGTCGTCACTTTTTGTAATTATAATGTCTATTAGTGTTTTTGTCGAGTCAGTTGTTCGGGTTGGCTTATCAATGTGTTGCTGTAGTTGGTAGATATCTAGTAGGTCATCCAACCGTTTGGAGTTGCTATTCCTATAGTTGCTGTCCAGCATATCACAGTTAAAATAACCTGTTATGATCATTTCTTTGTTTTCATTGTCAATCACTT